AGCTCATCGAAGGAATTCATTTGTTTAGTCAATTACCAAAATTTGGATGATTTTGAATATTCACTTGAAAAGTTATCAAAGAAAAACATTTTTCATTTTGTAACTTCGAGGGCCCGTAACTTGGTTACGAAGACTTTTAGGAAAAAAAGTTATATGAAGTACTGGTGATATTTTGACCCCATCTATACATTCCCGAGAGGAAAAGAAGAAGTCCAGGGACACCCTGTATAATGGTAATGAATTTATGAGCCGTGAGAATACTGAGAAAAAGAATAATAAATTGTCTTGTATATATGATACACACACACTTGACTTACAGGTTCAAAAACGGTAATTGAAGACTTTTAAAGAAACAACATTACTTGAACGTGGCTTTATAATTATAACATGATGAACGTGTAAAAACATCAAATATTGCATTCCCAAAATTCACAGATTACTTTTATTTGCTGAAATGTCTTGCTATAGATCGCACGTTAAAGAACAAACAAGAAGATAAAACTAAAATTATGAATTGAATTCAGAAATGACATCAGGTTCTAGAATAATGAAAATCTATGTATTCAGGGATAAAACTGACCTATAGTTTTTTTTGAACACATTACTATTAAGTGGCCTGAAAAGTTCGTAGGATAACACACAAATGGCGCTACTAGTATTGAATCCATATGAGTTTTAGTTAACTCTAATCTTCAGAAGACACGTGTACAAATTTCACAGCTGTTGGACTATTATCGTATTATTATCGACTGATATCACGACGGGTATTGAAACACTTCTTATTGAAATAAATATAAACTATGACTACCAATTTAAACTAGGGTACTGCTAAGGTGACGTACATAAATGTTTTTTTTCCTAGCCTTGAAAACAAATGTGTGCAACTCATTTCTGATAACTTTGTACAGTGCGACCCATTCTTTAAACGAATTTTTTTTTCCAGGCAATTCCTGTGGAGTTTCCGACTGCCGGGCGAGGCTCAAAAGATCGACCGGATGATGGAATGCTTTGCGAAGCGTTACTGCGACTGCCAGGGCGACAACAACATCTTCGAAAACTCCGACACCTGTTACGTGCTCTCCTTCGCCATCATCATGCTCAACACGAGCCTGCATAATCCGAGCGTCAAAGAGAAGCCGACGATAGAACAGTTCGTGAACATGAATCGCGGCATCAATCAGGGGCAGGATCTGCCGAGAGAGTTGCTCGTGGTAAGTGCTCTAGACACGTTATCGTTTGCTTTTGATTTACAGATAGATGTGAGGGTTGCCTTTTATATTTCGGAGAGAACAAAAACAGATATTAATCATCGGAAATTACTTTATTGTTTTTCAAAATATTCCCCATGAAGATCTATACACTTTTGCATGCGTTTGAACCAATTGTAGAAGCACTTTTGCCACTCTGATTGAGGTACCTCCAAAACATGCATTCTGAATGCAGCAACTGCTTCTTCAGGTGTTGAGAAACGTTGACCGCTCAGTTTGTTTTTTATGTGCGGGAATTAAAAGAAGTCATTCGGTGCCAAGTCAGGACTATACGGCGGATGACTCATCAAATCGAGGTTTTGGGTGCTCAAAAATGCAGTTGTTTGAGCCGATGTGTGAGAGCTCGCATTGTCGTGGTGAAGAGTGATCCGTCTTCGGCGGTTGGTTTTCCTGATTTCTTGGAAGACAAACAAATGGTTGTGTACCACTCAGAATTGAGTGTTCCGCGTTGTTCTAGTGGTACGGCTGCGATATGTCCAGTTTTTTCGAAAAAACAGGCGACCGTTTGCTTGGAAGTGCTTCCTGCGCTGGATTTGACTCCTCTTTAAACACCCATACAGTCGACTGCTGTTTACTTTCGGGCTCATACGCGTAAATCCACGATTCATCACCTGTAACGATGTTATATTGACGTGTTTCGAAGCACCGCGATCGTATTTTTTGAGCATTTCCTTCGACCAATCGACACGAGCCTTTTTTTGAGCGGTTGACAAATTGTGTGGGATCCAACGCGAACAAATTTCAGCATCAGCATCAATGGTTTTCGGAACAACAACTGATTTTGGACGACCTTAACGAATATCGTCTTGGAGTGAACTACGACCACGATTGAATTCACCATACCATCGATAAACACTGGTCCTTAATGGAGCTTCATCGCCAAAAATTGAATTAAATTCATCCATGCATTGTTGCTGAGTTAATCCACGTCGAAATTTGTAAAAAATAATCGCACGAAAATGTTTATAAATTTATTTATTTATTTACAGAGTAATTACAGTAATTACATTACAGAATTATTATAAAATCCCAAATGGTACATCAAGAAAGTTTCAATTGTTGAAACCAGTCAAACATTAGAGTTCAGTTATGAACCCAACAAGTAAAATCCTTAATATAAACTATTGTAATTGCTTAAAAATAAATAAACCTATTTATTTTTTATCAGTCCTATACACGACAAACTATTAATAAAATACCAAATGGAACATAAAAAAAGGAAAAATAATAAAAAGACAAAAATAAGCTTAAAGACATTCAACACTAATGAATAATTAAATTATAAAACAAAAACGTAACTATGTCAAATACATTACAGAATTGTAACAAATGTTACATCAATGTGCAAACAAACCCTAGAGTCAAGTTATTACTTCATATTAAATAAAGGTATGCATTTTCATTTGTCAAGTAGTATATTAAGTTCAAATAAAAAAAAAGACATGTACGAATACTAGAATAAGTTATTTATTTATTTATTTCAACGGACAAGCCAATTTTTACAAATATCTTTTTATAAATTGTACATGTGCTTACAAACTAAAGATACATCAGATGTTTTTAATCGATTTTTTGAAGGATAATAATGATGAATTAAACAATTTCAGGTTAAGATGGTAATGATTTGCTGGTTTCAATATCCTACATATTGTTTCATTCTGACCATAATTGGTTCTACAACAAGGAATTTTAAAAATATCACTATTTCTGGTTCTTCTATCATTCACAGAGAGAGTAGTACAAAGCTCAACTATTTCTGGAGAATCAATATAGCCGTTTAATACTTTGTGGACAAACACAAGATCTGTTTCAAGTCTCCTATGAATTAAGGTGTTCATGTTCAATATCTGTGAGTAGTTATACTCTCCTGTATTTAATCCTAACTGAAAAGCAACATATCTCAAAAATTTGTTTTGGCACCCCTCTAACAACTCAACATCAACATTATAATAGGCAGACCATACAATGGAGTTATACTCAAGAATGGATCTCACTTGTGTACAATAAATCAGTTTTATAGATTCGACACTTAGGTCTCTAACAGAACGAAGTGTAAAGCCTAACATCTTACGGGCTCGAGATGAGGCTTCCGTTACTTGGAACTTAAATGACATTTTTGAGTTAAAAACGACACCTAAATCTTTTATTTTATCCGTTACTGCTAAATCATTCCCATTGATTTTATACGAGTAATCATATACATTATTGATCCTTGAGAAAGTAATTTTTTGACACTTGACGCTAGAAAACTGTACCAAATCACATTGAAGTGCCTGAGCATCTGATATATTTTGTATTGATTTGAACACCTTGATTATTAAAAGAAATAATAAACGACTATTAAGAAGTTTAACGAACAATCTCTTGATGAAGTCGTCTAATTGCCATTTTTTTTTAATCTAAAATATGACAAATGAAAAAGATCAAGTTCTGAAAAGTATGTATTGAAATTTTTTTGAAGCCTACAACTTATTGCCATCGAGCCATAGTTAGTCTTGTGGAATCGCAACCCAAATGAAAAAATGCGATTGCTTCTTGAGGATCTTGAGTTAACAGAAAGGTCATCTAAAATGGCTGAACAATTGTAGTGGAAGTTTATTATTTTATGAAGTAATAGAACCATTGCAAGTTTACGTCTGTTCTCAAGTGATAATAAATCTAATACAGACAGCCTCGTTTGCGAGGTAGGGTAGGCCAAGTTTCCAAATTATATATTTAGAGAAGCGATTTTGCACTTTTTCAAGCCTCTCTTTATGACAAGAATAAAGAAGACACCAAATTACACTATTATATTCCAAAATACTCCGAACCAGTGAAAAGTATGTCTTTATAGCATCATATTCTGTAATATGCCGGGTATTCCTTTTGATGAATCCGAGCATTCTGAATGCTTTATTACAGAAATTATTGACATGATCAATAAAGCTTAGATCTTCATCGAAAGTAATTCCCAAATCGCATGAGCTTTTGACAGTTTGAAGAGTTGCATCATTAATGGAGTAGTTTCCAATGACAGGCTGTCTTATTCTATGAAATCTCAACACATTACATTTCTTAATGTTAACTTTTAGACAATTAGTATCACAGTAGGTACAAAAGCTATCTAGGTCATTCTAAATACATTCAATATCATTGGTAGATTGCATCATTTTGAAAAATCATTAATAAAGTTCACGATTTAATTCCATTTTTGGCCGAGATGAATCTTTCAAGTTACTGTAAACGACACAAATAGCGCGTGTACGTTAAAACGTTCTGAGTACTTATGAGCTCAAAAGTGTTCAACTTTATAATAGAGCTGTCAGTTGCCAGCTTGCAACACTGGGGTTGCCAAATCCCGAAACATAAAAGGCAACCCTCGTAGCTAATAAACTCTTTCCTGGGATTGTTTTTTTGCGACACTAGAAAATATCTGAGAGGTGCTAACATAGTCCGGCGCTAAGACAAACGAAGCTCCCAGAGGCGGTTAGTTGCAAAGCTAAGCTTAGACATCGATTGTGTTGAAACTACACACATCGGAAAAGTCTAGGGATATTTTTAAAAATGGCAATAATTTTTTTTTAGATCACTTTAGGGAAAAAAAGTTGACGGGTGATTATTAAACGAATGTAACTTACAACAAAATTTATTAAATGGTCAAAAATACTGAGTGCGCATATAAGCAAAACTAAAAAAAAATATGGCTCTTCTTGGGCACCCCGAAAAAAAATCATAATACAAAAAAAATTGGAATCGGTACAAAGTATGGCCTCCACGCTGGTTTATTACGGCCCTACATCTATCGTGCATCGACAAAATGAGATTGTCAATGTCTTGTTGAGGTACATTTGCCCATTCAGCGATTAAAAGCTCTCTCAATTGAAACGTTGTGTGAATGTTCCCCATATGAGGAGTAATTCTTAGTTGAAGCATGTCCCACACATGCTCGATGGGATTTAGGTCCGATGATTGTGCTGGCCATGGCAATACATCAACTCCTTCGTTGGTGAGCCAGTCAGTCACTAGACGCGCGACATGTGGACGAGCATTATCGTGCATTAAGTGGAAGTTTTCACCAACAGCACCAGCAAACGGACGGACGATAGGTAGAAGAATGGTGTCGAGGTACTGTCGAGCTGTGAGGGAGCGATTTGGAAAAACGAGATCGGTTCTGCCGCCGATCATGATTCCGCCCCATAGCATTACTGTACCACCTCTGTATGTGTGGACTTCCTGGACGTGTTTCAAACGTTCATTATTTCCAGGTCGTCTCCACAGTCTTACTCGACGAGAATCTGGATGAAATCCAAATCTGGATTCGTCTGTAAACAAAACTGTGGCCCAATCATTTGCATCCCAGTTTTGATGTTCGTGACACCACTCTAATCTTCTACCGCGATTGCTTCTCTACAAAGGTGTACATCTAAGTGGCCTTCTGTTGTGGAGATCTGCTTCATGCAGTCGATTTCTGACAGTATCACGACCAATGGTTACCTGGTGCGTCTGCTGCAACACGTTAACCAACTCAGGTGCTGTGATTGTCGGTTGTCTTCTTGCGGTTAAGACCAAAAATCGGTCTTGAACTGCAGTTGTAGCGCGTCCTCGCCCTGGATGTTGTTCGGCTGGACTGCCAGTGTCACGGAAACGCCGCCACAATCGACTGATAACACTTTGGGAGACCCCCAAACGAAGAGCTACATCATTTTGTCGCATGCCACCTTGAAGAAGCCCTACAGCTCTATTTTTCTCAGCCAATGGTAAGTGATGGCGTTCCATGTTAAAGCACAATATTTCCAGTTTAATTGCTGAGCAAGAACTGCATAGAATGTACAAACTTGACACTTTCAGATTATTCATTTTAACCGAAAACCTACAGTTTGTAAAAAACTTGATGAAAGATTAGTTACCGTTTTTGCAGGCTTTGTTCAACCCATAGAAATCTACAGGGTGGTCGAGTGTACCAATTTATTCGAAATTAAACGACCTCATGCATTTATTTTTATGATATTTGGTATGTTATAAAAATATCCCTAGACTTTTCCGGTGTGTGTATTTTTCAATATTGAGGGCCGTTGTCTGAAGTTTTGATGCGTGAAATTTCATCTACAAAGGTGGTCCACTTTATCAAAGGCAATCGGGCAATGGATGCAGCGCTCTAGTTGCGTTAATTCGCCTCATTCGTGTATTGTAGAGTACAGGTAGCTAGACTTTATGCATGTTAATGCCCTCTTCCGCTCACTTGAAAAAAGTTTCACACAAAGCCACGCTGTTCCTATGGACATATCGAAGGATTTGTTGAAGAACTTGGGGTTTAGGTCCCGAATAAATCCATTGGATTTATCTGATGATTGTCAGACCAATGGTCATTTATGGAGCAATTGCCTGGTTACAGAGACGGGTTTGTCTGGCTATCTGTGGTGCCATCAGTACCACACCGTCAGCGGCAATGGAGATCCTTCTAGATCTACCTCCTCTCCACATTTATCTGGAGAGAGAGGCTACATGAACTGCATATAGACTTGTGCACATTGCCAATTGCACAAATCAATCTAATGCAGAGTACAACAGACTGTTGTTGACACTGAAAGTCACAGCATTATGGGAATGACCTCTGACTTTATGCCTTCAACTGTCAACTATGAACTGCCTTATAAAGTGCTGTAGTGCTGTTCCCCAGTAGAGATCCTCCGGCAGAAGGAAATATTAAGAGCAGATTGCTGTTGGTTCACAGATGGATCAAAAACACCTTCAGGTTCTGGTGCATGTGTTTTCAGTTGCAGCCTCAGGACAGAGACATAAACCTGCCTAGGAACCTATGCGACCGTATTTCATGCGGAAATTTGTGTTATTGAATTGTTTGCGGGGATATTGGAAAAATCCAGCCTCATACACAAGTCAATAAAAATAGTCTTAGACAGTCAAGCAGCTTTGGAAGCTCTTGACTCCTACCAAGCAATGTCTAAATTGGTAGTAAATTGCCCAAAACGACTCTCCTCGATACGAAGGATCAAAAGATTGTCTCGGGTCTGGATTCCAGGCCATCCTAGTCTGGAAGTCTAAAACAAATATCATTTAGATGCTCAATTAACGAACTTTTTTTTTGAAGACAGATCACTGGAATCTAAAAATAACACTAAATTTCTAGGAGTGTTAATTGACCAGAATTAAAAATGTGTGGATCATGTTAAACAACTCACTAGAAGAGTCCCTTCTGGCTGTTATGCGGTTAGAGTGATTTATAAAGAATTGGGGTTCAGCAATGCAAAGATAGGGTATTATGCACTCATAGATTCTCACTTATGCTACGGAATACCGTTTTGGGGAGCATGCAGTTCAACTTTGTTCAAAAGTTTACTAATTTCACAGAAAAGGACAATAAGGTATATAGGAAGCCTTGAACCAAGGTACTCCTATGGAACCTTCTTCAAAAAACATAATATTCTAATGGTAACTGCATTATTTATACTGAAAATCTGTGAATTTAATAAATGAGCATATATTAAATTTTGCTGCATCCTCTTCCCATTATAACATCCGAAACGGCAGACACACTCTGAAACTCATGGTGCCAACTAAAAAGATCACCAGAGACTCCATATTTTACAACGGTGGAAAAATGTACATATACATATCTTTCATATCCTCCATTTTAACATAGTTTGTACCCATGCCCCATTTTTATTTTAATTACGATTGTTAAGTATTGCATTTTTTCAAGTATTTACTACCTAACCTTTGTCTACAAGATAATAACTTATGATAATAAAGCATATTATTTTTATTATTATTATTATTATCGAAAGAAATTGTTTCTTGTTTTTTTCAATTTGTATTGCCTCAACTATACAATATTACCTGAAGTCTCGCTTTGTATTTATACAAACTTAGATAATACAATGTTCTTCCTCTTCTTCCGTAGAGCCTGTACGACAGCATCAAAGCGGAGCCGTTCAAGATCCCCGAAGACGACGGCAACGACTTGATGCACACCTTCTTCAACCCCGACAAGGAGGGTTGGCTCTGGAAGCAAGGCGGCCGCTACAAGAACTGGAAACGTCGCTGGTTCATCCTCAACGACAACTGCCTTTACTATTTCGAATACACGACGGACAAGGAGCCACGCGGCATCATCCCGTTGGAGAATATATCGATTAGGGAGTGCTACGACAGGCACAAACAGCACTGCTTCGAGCTGTATGCCAGCGGAGGGACGGAGTTCATCAAGGCGTGCAAGACCGACTCTGAAGGTAAGGATTTGAAAGAAATGTTTAAGTATTTGAACAAATCGTTAGGAGTTTTCCATATGGCCAAATAATGATAATGACTGAGACAAGCAAACAAGTCCCAAATTTCAGTGAGCAGTCAATATTACCTTTCAACATCTGCCTCTCTTACGTCTAATAGAGAAGTAAGTTTGCAGACGATTTGAGCGATACCTAACCTCAAATAACACTGGTATCAGACTATACAGTGCCGACCTGAATAATCCACCCCCCCTCTTAACTTTTGAACACAACAAGATATCAATTTTAAACTAAATTTACGTAAAAAGTATCATTTTAGTGTTTTTCATGAGAAAGACAATTGTGTTGAATCACTCGTCGCCAGGGGGCGCTACCAACTTCTTTTTCAAACAGAAAGAGGGGTATTTGATAACTCCTTTGATAAGTATTTTAATTCTCTATTCAACTTTTTTAATCATTTTTTTGATCATTCGTTTCTAATTTATTGGTAGTTTATCATTATAGTAAAACCAATAATGATTGAGAGTAAAGCGCGTTGTCATATCTAAATTTTACGTTACCAGTTTATAGCAGAATCAAAATATAGTAAGCAGTAGAGTTGTAGGTTGTGGAAAATTATAGATAATACACAATACTAGTACGATCAAAAGGTATTATTTATGACAAAAATCAGTAATGAGCTTGTAATGAGTAAAATTTATACATTTCATGATTACTGATCAGTTAAAATTTATTATTTTCTGTATAGTGTTAGATATTTATTACAACTAGTGGCAACGCTGTACGCAACGATATTTCTGTCTTTGTCACTTTACCCACTTTACCGTAACTTCCATCTCATCGTTGCAGTCCTCACTAATGTACTTGCAGCCATGAGCGTATCATTGGTTTGTGAATTATACAGCGTGAATTGTACGTTTTACAGTTAAATTAGTCAGTAATCGACGTGTTGTGATAACAATTGGTGAAAATAATAGTGCTAATAAGTGTTTAAGCTTTACATAATTATATTTCTACACCGTTCTCAAACTACTCAAAAAATGGGAGACATGGTCGGGCCTTCCACAAATTGTACTGCGAGTATTTCACTGTCTTGAAAGAGATCATCAGCCACCAAAAGATGACTTTGTGCATATGTGCTGTAATTCCACGTGTGTACCTCCGAATAACCAACCGGGCATTTCTACATCATTAAGTTCCACAATTACAAAAGATAAATTAGTTGATATGTGCTCTGATTATACCGGTGTACCAAAATCATCGATTTACAAAATACTAAGAGAAGCAGAAATTCATGAGGACGTACAAACGCCAAAAACTAGTAGCGGACAAAAAAAAATCACAGTTGATGAAGAAGCCAAAACCAGTATACGCAGAACTATTCACAGTTCCTTTTTCAGAAATGAGCTGCCCACACTACAAACAGTTCTGGAGGCACTTAGCGATCACGAATTGGTCCCAAAAATGGGTAAAGAAACTTTTAGGAAACTTGTACACGAAATGAAGGTTTGTCAGTTGGGTTAAAACAGCCATCTGGAAAAGGTAGTCGTCTGATAGTTACGCATATAGGAAGCGACAATGGATTTTCACCAAATGGTGAATCAATATTTAAATCTAAGAAAACAAGCGACTATCATGAAGAGATGAATGCGGAGGTGTTTGAAAAATGGTTTGAAGGCATCATTCAACTTGTGATATTATAATATTATTATTATTATTAGCGTCCTTACTTTAGAGAGAAAGGTTAACAAGAGGACAAGGGACGGAAATATAATTTCGAAATCGTTATATGCGTGCCAGTTTCCTCAACAATGCCTTTTTTTTTCAGGTAAAGTTGTTGAAGGCAAGCACACCGTCTACAGGATGTCTGCCAGCAGCGACGAAGAGAGGAGAGAGTGGATACAGAGACTTACGCAGAGTATTAGCCACAACCCCTTTTACGATATGCTCGCAAATCGTAAGCGAAAAGCTCAGCTCTACTCTAAGAATTGAATAGACGTGTTTCGTTATGTACATATAAAATTAATAATAATTCCGTCACGGCACAACGAATTTATCAACTGGATGAGTGGAGAGGAAAAATGAAGTGATTGAGAAGAACAAACTTTTTTTTAAATGATTTTCTCGTTTACGAATCATCACAGGATGATTTTTTATCGTGTACAGTTTGTTGGAGATCTGTTATGTTTGGCACGAAGACGTATTTTTATGTAGTTCAAAATGGGAAAGAAAGTTTTTCCAAAATAATTTTTTTCGAGCGTTCACAATTTTTATGGATTTTTTCATAGTTGAAAGAAAACCAATACACTGAATTGTTCGGTGATGAAGTTAATATTGAGTTGGTATTAGGTAATTGTAAATAAATTATTCAAGCGAACGTGTTTCGGCATCACGTTCACCTTCGGTCTGTCACTGATTCGTTTCTTGGTTTTAAGATATTTTATTATTATGTTTTAAGAAAATAGGATGGATGTTAGGAGTTCAAGTTGACCCGGCAACATTTTTTCTTGTGGAATTTTCAACTCGAAATCGATGCCTCGATTTTCTTTGTCATTTACAATTCAAGTTTGGCGGCTTTGAGATACCGAACAAAATTTTTTGTTTATAAATCGATTTTAACCAATCAAATTCGTTATGGCTTCTGAGTTGCGTCAAATGGTCCTTCTTCACTAAGAAAATAATATATGGTATTTATATGTGCATTCATAACAATGTTCATGAAAAGAAGCATTCTTTCTGAGGGTTTTTTTGATCAGATACCATCCTCCTGACTATATCGCGACGAATATTGGTGGACTCGTCATTCAGTTGAAGTGGGTGGTTAAGAAGTATGGTTTTGGGCAGCTTTTTTTGTTGTCAGAACTGACCATATTTGACCATCGACTTGTTAGGTCGGTTTGTAATCTGAAAAACTCGAACCCGTTTTTCTTGAATTTTTTAACGAGAAGTAATTCAAATTGAATGAACTGGGTCGACTTGGACTCTGTATTGAATTATTTTCCGTTGAATCTTCATTGCAGTGGCACCAAAAACTCTCGTCAATCGTATTTCACGAATTGATTCAACAGGTGTCTCCCTCTCCGTTATTAAAGTTGCCAGATTGCAGTGAGAAATGATTCTATTTGCCCAGTGAGTTATTCTAGTTTTCTCCTCACATTAGATTTTTTTTTGTGATTTAGTTCTTTAAATATCAAACGTTGGCGATGCTTTTACGTAAATGCTGTCTTGGACGTGGACAAATTCCACTCAATACAAAAAAAGTTTCATTCGGCATTAATTAATAGTGTTTCGAGTATCTTGAACAAAAACTTGAGGGTTATTAAATCAGGCCAGCGTTTTTTCTTTAAATTTGTTTTCGATGACTTTCAAGCTCCTTCGTTCCCATTTTTTAATACAGTGTTCGCCCAAAAGCCTTGCCTAATAGAGGACTAATTTCTCAAAAATGCCTTCTTCATAAAACTTGTGAATTGTCTGAAAATCAAAGTGCAGGAGCTGAATTTCGTTTTTTTGTTGTATACAAGGGACGTCAAAAAATAGAAATTTTATCTGAGAGTATAGTATTTGTAAATACAAACCATGTTCAGGTTTGAAGTTGGAGAAACATCTTTTAGTTTATTTCTTTGTAATAGATACCTCAGCTGTAACATTGCACTTTTTATTACACTTATTTCTAAATTGATTTATTACCTAACTTGAATTTATTGCAGAATTGTTAGTTTCGGAGTAAAATAAATGTAACATCGACGTTTCGGCTTCGACTTTGAAGCCATTTTGAAGAAGCTGTCGCTACACTGAGGTCTCAATCTGCCTACTCCTCAGGTAGTGACGTACTGCAAGGGTTTTGTGACTTGACGCTGTGGTCTCAATCTGCCTACTTCCAGATTGGGACCCTACAGAGACCTGGGGAGTAGGCATATTGAGGCCCCGGGGTCAAGTCACAAAACCCTTGCAGCGTGTCACTATCTGAGGAGTAGGGAGATTGAGACCTCAGTGTAAATGGTAGCTTCTTGAAAATGGCTTTAAAGTTGACGCCGAAGTGTCGGACTACTGAAAACACAAGACGCGGTTTAACCTGTATGTATAATTGTGGGTGTGCTCGGAAAGGTTTACCTGATAATTTGAAGTTCGGGATAAACTACATCTGGTGTTTTCAGTTGTTCCACGTTTTGGCTTTCACTTTGAAATCATTCTCAAAAAAGTACTACACTGAGGTATCAATCTGCTTACTCTTCGGGTAAGGGTAAAATGCTGCAAGGGTTTTGTGACTCGACGCTGAGGTCTCAGTCTGCCAACCCCAACGCCTACATATATAGAAATATGAAGTGTTTAAGTTTGAAGGAAATGGAATGGAAAGATTGTTTCAACTGATGAGCATCAGTTTCTAACACAAACAGGAAGTTGAAAAACATTTTGTTTCAGTGTAGGTAGATTAAATTGCAAAATCCGACTATATATTGTATTTGAACAACATATTTTTGTGAAAATTTTCTTTATTTGGAGCACAAGGATACTTTTTACTTTCGAATAAAATATATATTTTTTGACGTCCCTCGATATGGTGAAAAACTATGAAATTGGACTGTTGCTTTTGGAAAATCCTTAAATATTTTGAGAAATTAGAAATTCAATTCAATAGGTTTCCATATGGTGCATTGGTGGGCCCTGTATGTTATAAAAGTTTAATGAAATTGGGACTAAGTATTTGTTATTTCTCATATTCGTGCCCTATTTTTTTAATGTGAAGTATTATTTTCTATAGGCATTTTCTCTAATTGAAATTCAGGAATGTTGTCTTTGCATTATGTGTACCTATACTGGATGTTTCGTTATTGGGTAGCAGAATTGAATCCAAAAACCTACTGAGTAAAAGTTGATATATCTGGAATTCATTTTTCTTTACCTCACTTTTTTCATTTTCTACCATTAGAAGGCTACAAAATTTTCTTGAAAGTGAAGTTCCCCAAATTCAGAGTTTCAATTCAGATTCAATGAAATTCTGAGTTCAAATTAAAAATCTTCAGTAAGTTCCGACTTTTAAACTCAGAAAATTCAGTGGTTTTTACCCAAAATCATTCAAGGCCCTCTTCCGCCCTTCTAATTTTCGTGTCATTTTTTTTGCGTCTTGAATCAATTATTGGAAGTACAATTAACAATTTTGACTCGACTTCACCCATTTTCGAAACAAAAGCGCATTAACGTATTCAAAAAACACTTTACTGTGAGATTTCCACTAAATAGTTTTACAAAAACGCAATATGTGTTTCACCAACACGCCCGAAGAAGCCACGTGTTGCGTTTTTGTAAAACTGTCAAGTGAAAATCTCACAGTGTTTTTTGAATACGTTAATTATGGATTTTCATCAAGTATCGGCCAATTCCATCATATTTAATGCGAATTAGTTGTATTTCATATAGAAACTGCAATATTTTTTTTGTGGAACGATTTGCCGACTCAGTTTGGAGTACTTGCGAAACATCCTGTAGAGTAAGAAATGATATTTGTTTCACAAGTGAGTTTCTTCGTTATTCAAAAAAATTACAACTGAATTATTAAATTTTGCTATAACATGCCAAAAAGACACTTCTTTCTCCGTCTTCCTGTCTTTCAACTTCTAAGTGTGTCTTGGATTTTTGCCCTCTTTGTTTGTATGTAAATTATGTTGTTTGTAAATATAGTGTCTTGTGTTCGATGAATTAATGTGTTTATTTATGCAGCCCGGCGGGGCTGAACATCGACAGACCCTGTGAGTTTGGTACTTTCGGCAGTTAATTTTTATTTCCACACTGTACATAAGGAAATATATTTATTTTTCATTTGAATATAGTGTAATTGAAGTAATTGTAAAATATCTGTAAATATATACATATATATATTGTTACTGTATGATGTAATGCCTTTACATACCAATATCAAGAATACCAAAATGATTGTAATTACATTAATTGTTGAGCGTACTATTGTAAAAGTTCTTATTTTAAGCAGACCCATCATTTTTGTACCTGCTAGATATATGTTTGTATGTAAAGTAAACTGGTTTATGATTTTGAATTGTTTTTTTTTTCTCCAATCATATATTCCACATTTCGACTAAGAGAATTTTATAAAATCTGTCAGTAGTCCGAAGGAAACTGCTTTTATTAAATGAACTACTTTCCTACCTTATACCCTGACGGATTATCATATAGAAATCTACTCAGGAGTGCAAACGTAGACGTATCTGTATTTACTTCGTTATCAATTTTAGTTATCAAGATTTCATCATTTCAAACATTTGTTTCCCTGAGAAGCAGTAATTTATTTGGGAGAAAAATTTGAAGGGGGTAGTTGATTATATCGCCATCTATTTCACAGGTAGCAAAGTTACTTCACCCGTTTTTTCTACCACTCAACAGATGGCAGTGTTAATGATTTGAATGCAAAAAAGTGCCTGGTAATTTTCTAGTATAACATTTGGACATTGTCAAAAGATTTATCCTTAGACAATAATTTGGGTTCAGCGTATTAAACAGGATCTGAAAACAAAATTTTATCAAATAGCAATTTCATTTATTGGTAATGAAATACAAGAAATCATATTAAACAGGTCACTGGTGTCTGACAGAAAAAAATGAATTTATCATCAATTAGTATAAAGTATTTCTCAATGAAAATCACTCGAGTGAAGAATTGCAATCTGACGTTTTCAGTAACACTCGAAATTAACAGAAAAATTCTTTTTTTCAGGAGTATAAAAACATTTTTTTCTGGAGAATCAAAATTTTAACCATCTTTTGTGTTAGTATCGCCATCTGTCACGCAGTTGATGAATTGATACATCATGAAACTGGGATCTGTTGTAGTGACTCATTTTGAAAATATTTTGCTACTCGTCACGAGATGGCAGTATGCATTCTGTAGGATATTTAAGATCAAAGAAGGGCATTGTGTTGCTTTTAACAAACGTTACTTTATTAGTTGTTATTTTATAGTCGTCACCATTTTCTGAAAATTCAAGAGCCGTCTCGGATTAATTAACCTTTCTATAAATATTCTCGACAGGGTCTTGAGGCACTGTTTAATGACCATGTTTATTAAATAAGTGAAGACGTATTTGAATGGGGTTTCACGTTGTCTTTCTCTTACAAACTACAACCCACTGAAGTCTTCTGAAAACTCGTACAACCAAAAATAATTTACGATCCCATAGCCACCAGACATATGTCTCTTTGGAAACGTTCTTTTTCGACACCTGTATTGAAAATCCTCATATTTTTACAATTTTTAAAAATGTATTGAATGCCATCATATTCATTACTACACCTTTGGTGTAGTAATGAATATTACTGGAGTATTTTCCCAACACCAAATCGTTATTTTTAACACCTCGACACGTGTTTGGTGTTGGGAAAACACTCCAGTAATATTGTATAAAAATATCTTGACTCTCTACGTCAAAAATGGTCCTGTTTATCCTCTTTCATTCTTAGAACAGTATTGATTATTATTAGATGTGATCTGCTATCGACAAAGTAATCAGTACACATATTTTTTTAATATACATTACACTATTGTTGAAATTTTAAAAATAAGTGGTTAGTGGCTGAAGTATCTTAGGCTAAATACTCTGAAAGGATCAGAAAAGAAGAAGATTAGTCAAAATTTTTAGGTTAACGTATGATTTAACCAATAAAGTATACTTCAAATTTTCAAATTACGCAAATGTCTCTTTTACGGACCTTATATAAAACTAAAAAAATTATTCATGAGGGAAGAACTGTAAACTATACTTACAAAAGGATGAGAGTATTATTTTCGAATGATGCCGGTTTAGAAACGCCTCAAAAAGTAGAACCTGGTGGTTATGCCAAGGCTTATGAGAAATTTGAAACCATGAAGGATGGTGAAAGTAAAATACCATCTCAGAATTTTGCAACGTTGTTGAGAAATTCTAAATTTATAGACGTAAGTTTGATTTTCTACATATAATAATAATACCTCTACCAGACTTGCTTTTAGTGTTTTAGTGTTTAGACAATCAATTTTTCAGATACTATTATTCTGTTTTTGATGCAAATTTGGTGAATATTTGTTAGCTGCATTAGATTTACCAACATTTTATTCATTACAGCTTGGCGATCCTGAGGGAAAAATTGTTACGGGGAAAATATTTCGAATCATTGATGATGACTTGTATATAGATTTCGGATGGAAGTTCCACTGTGTTTGTCCTAGACCAAAGAAAAATGGAAGGTTAGTGTGAAAAAAAAAACTCATTCAGACATATCACTTTTATGAAAATGATCGAGATATCTATTAAATGCAAACATTACCACAATGTAAACTCAACATATTCTTTAGATGTTTAAATCATATATGCCTCCAATTTGGTGATAACAACATCTACAAAGAATTTGAAATAGGTCACCAAATTACCTGACACATTGGGCCTTACTTCAACTTTTTCAAAAGGAAGGTTGGTGAAATAACTCGTTGCTTTTTCTAGTTCTTGCAATCCTCTTTCGTTCCCTATTCCTTCGACAAAATTTTTCTGATCCTCAATGAAAGATACAATTTTTTCAATAGTTTTCCTCAGAACCTCTAATGCCTCATCCAAAAAATTCACTGTTTTTTCGTAGTCTTCTTTGGCTTCCCTTAGTTGCTCCACTATGCTGATGACTTGCAGCTCATGGGTCTCCTCACATTCAGCTATTCTCTTGTCAATTTCAACCAATTTGAGGGCTTTTTGGGATTCCCCGCCATGTCGTAAACTTGAAGACCTCAACTTTTGTTTCTTCGCCTTCAAAACTTTCAGTTGTGTCGAATAGTCGGTGTTAATTTCATACATCTTGTGATCGAGTAAGTTCCAAGTCACCTCTTTTTGGTCAACGGTTCTCAGCTTGTTCTGCAACTTGTCTTCCAGTTCTTTCAAATCACTACAGATGAAGTTGTACAGGCTTTGAACTAGGCTGATGGTTCTGTCCATGTCATGTAATATTTCGCTTCTCAGTCTGACGGACATTCTTTTCTCTTTGTTGGTTTTCAATTTGAATTCGAGCTTTTTTTCCTCGATGGCTTCAATAAGGTCTTGCTTGACTTTGTTGATTATCTGGAAGTTTGCTTTTATGTGCCTCAACTCTTCGTTCAATTTTTTTAAGTTTGATTTGTTATCTGAAAGATTCAATGCAATGGACATTTGGAATGGTTATGACTTGATTGTGAAAGGTATCAGAAGCTTTGTATAAAACTTATTGTCAAATGTTGACATTTGGATTTTTTTTTGCAATAATCAAGATTGTAACATTCAATCACTGAAGTATTTACATGGATCAAGCGTAACAACACACTCAACTAACTTTAAAATATACCTTTTGGTAGAAATATGAGAGTTTTCTGAAAAGTTTCCAACCTAACAAAGAAAGAAGACATATTTTCAGATTTTTTTTGTTTTTCAACAGTCTCCTTTCAACTCTGTGCAAAATAATTGTCCTCAAAGGTGATTGCCTCTCCATGCGATGAGAATCTATCCTCCGAGCGTAATTTATAGATGAGGAAACAAAAAGAAGTCGCTTGGGGCTAGATCTGGTGAGTAAGGCGGATGGTCTTGCAGTTCAAACTGTAATTGGTGGATTTTCACCATGGCAACCGCTGAGGTGTGAGACAGTGCATTGTCTTGGTGAAACAGAATTTTCTTTTTCTGCAAATGTGGCCGTTTTTCAGCAAGTAATGATGCGTGGTATGCTCCTGAAATGGTTTGTGCTTTATGAAGATAATCGATTAAAATAACTCCATGACTATCCCAAAAACAGTCGCTATCACTATCCCAACTGAAAAAAGAGTTTTTGCTTTTTTTGGAGCCGATTCCCCCTTTGCAGTTTACTGTTTGGACTGTATTCTTTCTTATTTAGGCTTTCTCATGCCTAAATGTTCATTTAATATGTGACAAACACGTTCTTTTGACATGTTCATAACCTCTGTTATCTCTATCAATTGCGCGTCCAAAATGGCTGAAACTTTGGCGAGTAACTGTCAACAGATGAATATTGAAATTCACTGGTTTTTATTTACGAGTGCTGCCATCTTCATGTCGAGGTCATAAACTTTTCGACCACCCTCGTAGTTTCTGGAACCATACTATTTTGTGATTTGTATTAGTGCCGCAATATGGTTAATATGAAAATACAATTGCCCTTGGAATTATTACTACAATTGAAAAAGAAAATGTCCATATTGATAAAAAACTCGTTTCATTATTCATCCATCTCCAAACAAAACATATGGGAAACTTCTGATGATAGGAAGGAAGAAACTTCACCAAACACTCTTAAAAGTTTCAGGGCATACTACGATATTTTTTCTTAGTCGAAAATAGGAATTTTTTATAAGCGATTTTTTTTTAATGAAAAAAATCACTACGCCACTGGATTCAGAGTGCCTCTAAATAGGTGTGACCAAAATATCATGAAAAAATATTCAATAATAACAAAGTTATGACAACTCAAAAATTCGAAAACTCACACAGCTAACAGTCACAATATATCATTTTTTATGATTTCAACAATAAAGTGCCGTCAGATAAAAAAAAAACAAATAGCGTCAATATCTTTGATGAAAATAACGGAATTACATTCACACAATTCAACTAACAATGAAGCAAAAGTTTTAATAAATGTAACTAATAACTAATTATTATTGAAATGTTTCAATTCAGTGCAACAATTAATTCTAACTCATATTCTAGTAGCCTCTACTAATCCACCACGTATTTCGATACATGTGTCATAGCGCTTATGAATGTTTCTGATTATGTTCCTTAGTTCTTGAGGGCTAATATCTGCACATACCTGTCGAATTCTTGCACAAAGTTCATTTCTATCTCTTGAGCGGTTTTTGTAAACCTTTTGTGTGAGAAGTCCCCAGAGAAAAAAGTCCAAAACTGTGAGGTCTGGAGATCTGGGTGGCCACTCTATAATCGGACTACCACGGCCTATCCATCGGTTTGGAAAATGTTCGTTAAGCCATTGCCTCACAGCTCTGGCGTAATAAACTGAACACCCATCTAACTGGACAATGAAATTTGACCAATACTGTACTGGCTTTTACAGTTTATTACCCAGTTATGATTATCCGCTGCCCAATAGCGACAATTCTGTGATGACACTACTCCATTTGTAGTGAAAGTGGCTTCGTCGGTATATAAAATATTTTTTAGGAAATTTCTATTGTTTAAATATTTCCCGTGGGCCCATAAACAATATTCCAGGCGTCTTGCTTCGTCGCCTTCTTGAAGTGTGTGTGAAAATTTTGGCTTGAAAGGTTTAATATTCTTCGCCTTAAGACATCTCCGAATAGTTTCTCGTGGAATATTCAAATCTAAAGTGGCATTCCTTATACTGGCATTAGGATTATTTCCGAAATAATCTAAAATGATTTGATCATTCCTGTCATTCCTGTTTCGTCTTTGTACAGGATTACTTTTTAATATCATTTTTGATACTGCACCAGTTTCATTGAATATTTTATTTACCGTATCGCAGCTAATACGAGGACGATCTGGATGTCTCTCATTAAATACTCTACAAACCTCTCTAGCACTTCTAACGTCATCTCCCGAAAGGCGTACATTTCAATTTTCTCTCTTACGCTCAATCTTGCAGCCATGACACAAAATAATTCGAAGAACTGTAAGGTGAATATTGTTGACAATAGTACACTTAAATCTTCCACAAATGTCAAACTGTAATATCATTTCCATGGCAACTAAGATTTAAATTGAAATATTAGGTCTTAGTTTTAGTAAATTTGCGTGAAAACTTGAATGTAATTCCGTTATTTTCATTAAAAATATTTACGCTATTTGTTTTTTTTTCATATGGCGGCACATTATTGTTGAAATCATAAAAAATGATATATCAAGACTGTTAGCTGTGTGAGTTTTCGAATTTTTGAGTTGCCATAACTTTGTTAATAATGAATATTTTTTCATGAAATTTTGGTCACACCTGTTTAGAGGAACTTTGAATCCAGTAGCATAGTAATTTTTTCAATAAAAAAATCGCTAATAAAAAATCCCGATTTTCGACAAAGTAAAAATATCGTAGTATGCCCTGAAACTTTAATAAACATTTCAAATTTTGTCCCAAGGTAGACCTTTTAGTACTTGACATTTAAAAAAAAATTATTAAAATCGATTTACAACTTCAAATTTTAGAGGGGTGTTTCCATTGAAAATGGGCCACACTGTATGAATACGAGAATTTCTATTTCGTCCCCTTCAAAGTATCCCCCCTCAGATATAATACACTTGTGCTTCTCTTCAAGATAATACTCCCTATTGACCATATGACCATGAGGCAAGTACCCGATGATCGAACTTGACGTGTTTTTTTTGATCTTGGCTCTCCTAGGCTTTTCTATTGAGACGATTGGACTTTGGTTTCGATGTCCTCACCATGATTCGTCATCAGTTATAACCCTTTTAAGAAAATCTGGATCGCAGTTGACGACATTCAACAATTCCTGAGCTATGCTTATGCGACGGTTTTTTTGTTGGTGAAAATTCAGCAATTTTGGAACTTACTTCACTGCCACACGCTTCATGCCTAAAATTTACGAAAAAGTTGCATATTATGAGCCAGCCGATATGCCGACATCCTCAGTAACTTCTCTAATAGTGATTCGTTGATTCTCCATAACAATTTTCTTCACTTTCTCAACATTTTCATCGATTGTTGATGTGCTGGAGCGTCCAGGCCCGCAAAATTCTTATTTTTGGAACAGACGTATAAATAGTATTTAGGCGTCACAACCCAACTCGCCAGGAGAGTATCTGAAAGTTCTCGACAGTTTTTTAAATCATCTCCTGATGACGCCAAGGTGCTTGCTAAAACGCGCGTTTTGTTTGATTCATTCTACACTAGATATTCAGTTTCTGTTCTTTGGACAACAAAGTTTGTTTTCTCTCACTATTGTACTAACCATATCTATTCCATTATAGCAGCTACATCAGGGGTGCCAGGGTCCGCCTCCTCGTCAAAGATTTGGAATTATCCTCGAAATTTCTCGGCTTCGAGAAAGATCTGACATTACTGGAAGCCGATTGCGTTTTATTGGGACTCCAAGACAGAAGTAAAACTCTACCTTCCAAATAGGCACTGTTTAATATTTATTTCGTATTAAAATACATGTTGAGTTAGACACAGGTGTTTTTGATGGTTAACAGGCAAGAGTGTTATAATTTTTAATAAACTTATTTATTATTTTATTACATTTTTATATTAAAAATAGTACATAGCTAAAATACATTTCTTAAAGCTCTGCATACCAAATAAACATTTTATGTACATTTCCAATTTATTACAATTTTTACAAAACAAGCGAGAATTTCAATTCAAGAACTATGAAATTAGAAATTCTCGATAGTTGAAAATATTCGAGTCTGCAATCCATAAAATAGCATTCATAATGGTTCAACCAGTTGAAAATCAGTCAGCAATCAATGAGGAATTTGTAAGGACCTATTAAACATGACATTTTTGCAACTTGCAAAAATATTTTTGGCGCCCAACGTGGGACCAAAATAAAAACTAAGGAAGTCCTATGTTGAAAAATGCTTCAGAAGAAAAATAATTAATGGAACAGCAATATTTATTTGTGACTCTGACCGTTCAAACATGTTTGACGTCACTAGAGTTGTAACTCTTTAGTTTCCTCTTTACAAATCTTGGAGATGATCTTTTGAAGATGTTCATACAGGTTTTTCTGATGTAAAAAGTACTTTTTATAATCGGAGGAGTAAGTGATTGAATGACTGGATTTTCTGAATATTCTGCTTTAAATGATAAAAGAGAGCTTACTTGTAGATGTTTCTAACCTCCCAGAAAAAACCTTCGAGAGTCGTTCCACCTGAAACTTCAAATTATTGAAGATTCCCTGGAATGTTGAAACAAACACTTTGTTGTTGAACCATTTGTATCCCTAACCAATAAATAAAATAGCATTTTAAATGAGGTTCATCGACATAATATATCCCACTTCTGAAACTTGGTGCGAGTATGATTACTTACATCGACAAATTAAATAAGGCACTTGAGAATTCTTAGTATATTATGAATATGAAATTTGAGCTGAGATAAATATGTAATTGCTTATAATAGTACGCAAGGCAATCCACAGCACAGTGGCAGGCAAACTGGAACAACGGTGGCTCCGCTACTGCTTTTCGATTTGCTTCTGCTTTCGGCTTCGTATTGGTACTTCCCAGAGGCTCTCGCGTATCCACCCTGTAAAATATCGCGAGTTGAATGTTAAGTTGGATGAAAGACATAGATGTTCGGCAATTTTTGTTGCATAACAAGTGATTTCAATATTCACAATGTCGGGACAAAATGTATGTGTGTTCACGTGTATATATTTTGAAGAAATATCCAACAAAAATGGGATTTCGACTTACTTGTGCCCGCCAGGCAGCTTCACTTTCTTCCTTCTTTGCGAACATTTCGTGACCGGGGGGATAATATACAGGGGGGCCGGATACGTTCTTAGTTTTCACTGCTGGTTCTTTCTTCTGCGTATCGTCCACTTCTGCAGCTTGCCTCTTTAGGGTGTCAATTTTTTTCTGTTGGGCTTTCTCCTGCTCGTGGGCTGTGAATCCTGCGTTGAGGGGACTGTTCGGCGGCTGAGATGTTACAAAATATCGATTATAAACGAACTACTTTTTATGCAAGATACAAGGTCGATATTAATTTTGCGAAAAATCATTTTGAAAATAGTTCTAATTGAATGCTTGAATTTAACTCTCAAAAGTCGAAACTTGTGCGAGGACTAACGTGTGATTTCTAAGACGGGCTGGACGATAGCAAGTGAAAATCGGTCGTCCGGCCTGCGGCTTGAACCACCGATTTACGCAGCGGTCTATTAAGTGAGTGGAGCAAAGTACCCACGTCAACCCGACCGGCTACCGTCCAAAGGTTGCAAAGATTAAGCCAAAGCCTCGGTAGATAATAACATTACCCTGAGGTGGATTAAAGGGCACGACAGGAGTAAAGGTAAACGCATTGCCGACTTTTTAGCCAAGGAAGCGTTAGACTAAGAATTTTAGGACCCAGTGGCACCTACGGCCTGATGACTTCGACAATTGCGGAACTAGCCAAACGTCACACCTATGGGATGAAATCAAAGGATGCAGTTTTGCCAGGATCACCCTGGGCGACCCTGGGAAACTGGCGCCGAAGAAATATCTGGCGATGACCAGGAAAAATCTACGCTTAACAGTAGGATTTCTGACTGGCCACTGTCAACTAAGGAAAAACCTCCACAATATGGGGCTAGTGGACACACCTCTATGCAGGATGTGGGAACAGGAAGATGAAACTGTCAGGCATGTCCTATGCGAATGTCCGAAGTTATCGTCAATAAAAGTGTGTGTTCGGCGAGTCTTGGCCGACACCTGCCGATATAAAGGAGATGTCTCCCAGATACCTGTCCACCTTCTTGGAAAGGACAGTATGGATAGGACAGGATGGACGATGATCTAGGAGGACAACTCCTCGGGAGGATGTACAATGGGTCACATGTGGCCTAAATGCTGTGGGCCAGTTTGCAAAGCTAATTAAATATGAAGAACTTCATTAAAAGTATGCTAATCATATCGAGCAATATCACCAGAAAATGATAATATAATAATGATAGACCGGTACTAGCTCGTCGTCAGTAGCGGGAGGGTCATTTCAGACATGGTGTAGCATCTGAGTATGGCCATCGTCCCGACCGAATAAAATTAATTCCAGCTTTTCATATATAGAAAGTTACTTGCAACAAATCTTCTAAATTCAGACGTTGCACAGGTGCCTGATGGTTTAACTTAAGCTTTCTGCGCGGCATTAGCTGGGTTAGTTTTCCTCAGGGTATCTACCACACTTACCATGAGAGGCAGGAGTATAGTATTTCCACCTGAACTTAAATGTATCATATGAACCTCTCTGGAAGATGTTTATCATTCTGACTCCCACCCCGGAGTATGTGTCTGTGGACTTTGTCTGCTGGTGGAGCAGTGGCACATCTACTGAATCAACTCCAGATAGAGTTATGACTAGTTGAAATCCCGTGGGTTAGGCTACCTATCGGGCGCGTCCCCAGGCGGATAGGGGGACTGGAGGCCCTGTCCGGGAAGCTAATGGCACCTTACGGACGGAGTTGCCGGACTTCTGGTCAGTGGCAGAAATAAGTAGGGTGAGGGGAACTAAAACTCTCCAAAAGCCTTTGCGAAACATGCCACCGTGGACCAGCCTACCCAAGCTAAGGTGTAAGGAATCGTGTCGACGGCTGAATGGCCGCAGGGTGATATGCGGTCACTAACGATCCCCCTGGGGAACTGGGCGAAATCTCATTATGATCAGCCTACCTCTGGTAATGCGGGGCTTTGCCAGAGGTCACCAACTCTTTCCTTGCTACTCGAAGGAACACACATAAATGAAACAAACATAAAAACAGAAACAACAAAAATCAATCCCGAGGCTGGACATAAGTGCTCACTTCAATCTAAGGCTGTGGCTGGGGGTGAACAGAAATGTCTATCCCAATCTACCGCTTTTAATGAGGCTGGACACAGCAGATCACCTCGTGATGTAATACAAAGGTCAAGGCGTGAGCGCATTTGCGGCGCAGAGGCCAAAAGGAGAAACAGAGCGAAGGAGGCAGTAGTGGCAGCAACTATAACTGCACCCTACTCCTTTCCCACTCCACCTCCAACAGTAAAGACGCGGCGGGCGCCAACAGCTCCGCCTTGAATAAAGGCAAGAAACCGACTGCCCCTGCAGGAAAGCTCCCTCACTTGTGCACCTCCATGGAGGGAACCCCAAAAAGGTTGAAGAAGCCGTGCAACGACAGTAATGTCGCTGCACCTTCCAAAACCTTCTCGAAAGCCACCGTGAGACACCTCAAGGTTGCCTATACCTGCCAATATAAAGGAGATGTCTTCTAGTGGAAAGCACAGGGTGGACGATGACCTAGGAGGACAACTCCTTGGGAGGATGTACAATGGGTCACATGTGGCCTAAGTGCTGTGGGTCTACACTCATCCTCCCTACTCTACAGGTACAGAGATACTAGTTGAAATGAATTTTGTTTGTTCGGGATACTCAAACGGTTCACTCCTTCTGAAATGACCTTCCTGGTATTGACCAGGAGCTAGTACTCCGAAACCGGTCTATCGGTGGTCGTACCGACCCAATGAAATTGATTTCAGCTTCTCGTATATGGGAAGTTACTTGCGACGAATCTTCCAAAAGGAAGACGTTGCACACGTGCCTAATGGTTTTACTTTAGTTTTCTGTGCGGCATTAGCGGGTTTAGTTGTTTGCCGGTTGAATGTCTGCCAGACCTACCTACAAAGTCATAGGTTCGCGCGAACAAAGGTAAGGTGTTTTCACCTTTATATATATATATGTATTTTTTGTATCAAGATGGAGTAGTAGAAAGCCAAAAACTAATCACTCCTAAAAATATGACACCTTCAATTCAAATAAGATTCCTCTTGGTTGGGATTAAATCAAATAGGTGAATGAATGTCATTACGATGTCATCGATGACATAAGCAGATTAAGCTTATTCCGTGACATTGAAAATCGTAATTCATGAATGAATTGTGTGTATTTTCTATAACGTTTTCCAATTTGGTACTGAAGATCCTTAGGCCAAGTGTCTTAAGGCGAAACATCGATGTATACCAGTGAGAATGATAGTGTTCCATGTAAGTGCAATTTGTTACCATTCATTTAAAGTAGAACTCATGTGAATGATATCTGATTTCTATTCCACAACGAATGTTTGAAATACAAACTGAGTAGAGAAAAGTATCTTCTGTATATTTCAGCGATCATATGGAAGTATTTGTTTCGAAAGATTTTTTTTCTTTTGTGTAATTCAATGTTTACATGAAAGTAGCTGTTTCAGGAGGCCTTTCTTTCAGTTTATGTCTGAAAGTTAATTCTTTGCATGATCTACACATCCATGTATAGAGTTACTTATTTTCAAATTGATTACTTCTTTTCTTTGGAAGATTCCCTCATCCTTTTTTTTGTATCAAGATGGAGTAGTGGAAAGCCAAAAACTTTCTTTCCCAAAAAATATGACCCCTTTAATTCATTTAAATATACTTGTTTTAAATTATCTTAACGAGTAACGCTCGTTGAGACTACAGTAGGCAAGAATTCACCTCCTTGTCGGCTGTGGCATTTCACATCACCTGCATTGTTATGTATGAACCTCTGAATAAACTAGCCACTCGCGCCAGTGAAACGTCAGGAAGAAATTCCAGAAATCGACGGCCTTTAAACCCAAATAAAAATAGTGACATTGAATTAAATTATCGATATTTCCCCTTTTAAGTTGGTTGACAGGGTGTGGACTGAAACCTGAAGAGGTGTGGTTCTGAAAAGTGCCGGAAGTGTACCTTAGATTGTCCATCGTTTTGAAAAAACATACTCACCTCGTTTCCTATTGTAGCCATGAGCTCGTCCAGCCTCTTCGGTGGTCCATCAGGCCCATCGTCTGTTGGGAACTTCTGCGGCAACAAATGCTGGCTCTCCTCATTCGGCGGATACCCCCCTTTGTAGCTATTTTGCGTCGTATTCGTGGATTTGTACGAGTAATGGATGTTTATGGGCTCCTTGGGCTTGGGCTTAAACCCATATCCCGATGGAGGATTGTTCGGGTCGAACGTCTCCACCTCGTTGGGAGTTTTGGGCCTGTTGGGACCTCCGGGGCCGTAAGAGTTGTTGGTTGTGTGCGTTTCGTGTTGGTAAATGATTGTTTTCGGGGGTTCGTTCGGGGGGTAACCGTTTTGGTAAGGGGAACCCGTGCGGTTCGTGGTCGTGTTGTGGGTTTCTTTGATGATGTATGTCGTGCTAGGGGGGTTTCCTCTGCTGGAAATAAAAATTGTAAATTTGAGAGAGTTTTCAGCAAAAGGTGTTTTTAACTGCATAGGATAATCACAGGAAAATAATACAACCAGTAGGCTCTCTTACCACGTGATACGCCCGTGTTGCCGGGGACCTTCAACCGCTCTTATCATGAGAATCTCATCCAACGCATTCAGTGCTGTAGTATCAAAGGATTCGACGGTACCACGGGCATCGGATTAGTTATAATAAACGGTCGGAAGTTGATATTGTCTTTAGTTGATTCCCTGTTGTTATTATTGTTTTCAGTTGTAGTTGGTTATAAGTAATTTACCACAAAATATTCTATAATAACCTTAAATTTCGTTTTTATATGAGCGCACGCCCATGGTAAAAGAACGAAATTGGCCCCGCACTCCGTTTCGAGGTCACCGCGAGAACTTTGTGAATTTATGAATGAAAGTAGTGGCAGCGAACTTACTGGTTGATTTTTACTGTGGGATAATAATAAATATGATAAAAAAATTTATTCTCGAAACCCTAACGCATTCAATACATGTTTAAATCGAAGAAAACACAGACAGTGCTGTCGTTCTGTATTGAAAATACTAGCATTGATATAGTTTTGAAATAAAATAATACAAAACATTTAAAAAACTTTAATTGAAGCTGAAGCTATTTCCAAGTGTATTGAAACGAATAAAAAACGATTTACTCATAGAAGAAAATTATTGATAGTAAAAAAATAAAAAATGTTTTTCTACCTAAAGAATATAATGTTTATGTTTATTATCCTCTGAAACATTAAATATATACAGCGAGCGGCTAAATTATGAAACAAATTCGTTATTTCGCAAGCAATATGTTAGGTTGTTTCAAAGTTTTGCCCATCTTTATGAGTCTACATTAAACTGTAATATCTCAGCTAATACTAATTCAATTGAACGGGATTCGATGAAATCGACGAAGGCCGTTTCTGTCGATCGTTCAAATCATGGGGCACCCAGTATCCCAGCTTTTTGACCTTTCCAATACGTTTCAAACGATCAAAAACCTCATGAGAAGACTTTTTTGGCGCTGGTATTCTGACCAAAAAAATGGCCTCATTAGGTAAATTGGGCGCTATATTGAAGGTAAAATGGTGGCATTTAGTTGATGAAGATGATAGTTAGAGGTGATCAAATGAGTTTTTTAAAATCCTACCTCAAAAATCAGTCATAGAGCATGAAATGGCAAAATTAGGTCTGATTTGGTGAAAAATAGAGCAGGGAGTGCCGCAAGGATAAGTTCTAGGCCCTGTGCGTTTAATTATCTATATGAATGATATCTTGTGTAGTGCATCTGATGTTAGTTACTCTGTTCACCTAATTGGTTGCACTGACGACGTATCTATGATACGATGTGACCGGAACAACAAAACATTATGAAAAACAAAAATATTTTCAGACATATATATGTTTATGTTTTATTTTAATTTACTTTAGATTTCAATGTTTCTTTATTTGCAAAAATGTCACACATCTAACTACTAGCGATTATAAGTGATTCAAATACTATAATTGTTACACGAATCCCTATCGCCAATTGATTCAACGTATATATAGTCGAAGTAACCGATATAGTAATTCTTAAAGCTATCGGCGAAGTCAAAGGCCAAAAAAAATACAAAGAAATAATGCCACTACGAATAAGTCCACGTGGACTGAATAATTGGCTGTTCGTATTGGATAATTTTTACTAACCGAGTTTTATGACTGGCTGAAGAGTCATTGAACCACAGAGAGTATGTTTCAATGTATATAAGAATCTACATGTCAAGTTTCGTTTCGAGGGAAACAAACTATTACAAGCAACATCGGATTTGACCGAAATTCCTTTCTCAACTGTACGTAAAATAGTCAAAAATTAACCTTATGAACACAAGACGCGATTTGATGCGGGATTACCAAAACCTTTAGATGTTCATCTAATAAAATTATTTAAAAAACAATAAACGCAATGAGATTCCTACAATTTAAATCATAAGGAAGAAATTGAATACTTCCGGCTATAACGTGAGCTGCTGTGACAAAACTCTTCAGAATTTGATAAAGAAAGTAGGATTTAGATTTAAAATAATAAACAAACGTTAAGCAGTTATGGAAAGCAGAAGAATAGTGGAATTGCGTAACAAATACTTAGAAGAAATAACTAAATATGGACAAGAACAACGGCAAATTTCCTATTTAGACGAAAGTTGGTATGACACTCACGATACAGTTACGAAAGAGTGGACTGATGGTTCGAGAATGTGTACGCCTAACGTGCCTGCAAACAAAGGATCGCGACTAATCATTGTGCATTGCTGAGGAAGTAAAGAATGGGTTCCGAATTCTTTGAAATTATGTGGAGAAAAACTTGAGGACTGCAATGTTCACTATCATAAGGACATGGAAGCTAATATTTTTGAGGAATCTATTATAATATTAGTTGACTCTTATATAATCAGAAATGATTATTGAATAACAAAATTAGTTAGCTCCCTAACTATTTAATCAAAGGGTAACTGCTGGAAGGTAGGAGGCACTGTATCGTTTACTTGAACTATACCAACCTATTATCTGGTGGATTGTAAACGGGATATCCTCTTTCAGAAAATGGCGGTTCGGTCCTATTTACTGTGTTGTGGGTTTCTTTGTATATGTATGTTTTTCTGCCAGGGGGATTATTCTCATCCGGCGATGGATAGCCGTCATTCTTGGGAGGATATCCGTCATGAGGTTGGGAATGTCCACGAGGATGATCGGTCTTGTTGATATTCGTGGTGGTATGCTCTTTCACGATGTAGGTGTCCTTTCTGGAAAGAGGTTGAATCAAAATAATATCAACTTCAATAATAATATCACTAATTATTTCAATTGATTCGTGACTGAAGTCAAGAGACAGCTTGAAGTTGGTATCGACTAGCCCAAAATCAAATGAAAGTAAAATCAAGTTACCTTGGCATTGGAGGCGGCTGAGGATGACCATTGTGGGTAATATTCTTCGTGGTATTCGTTTCGTTGTAGACATAAGTCTGGTTAGTGGGAGGGTTCAGCTCCGGCCTGTAACCCGGTTGGTAGTTCCTCGTGGTCACTGTCTCCTTAACCACAACGCCCCCTGGTGGACTGGGCTTTTGGTACGGCGGGTAATTGTAAGGGTCCTGCTGATAGACAACATTTTCCTTATTCTCCATCTTGTTGTAAACGAAACTCTTGCTGGGTGTGCTGATCGACTGATTTGGGGAGTAGACGTACTTCTCGTCGCTGGCTGCAGGGAAGTCCCCCGAGCCAGGTATCTCGTAGGTGTATGTTTTGATAGTGGTCGTGACTTTGGTGTTGCCCGGGGGACGGAGATTCGGGTCCAAGTGAGCCAGGACTTCGGGGTCGATGTCCGGCACGACCGTTTCGGATACTTCAATCGGGTACTCGTGGACGTTTTTGACTTTCGTTTGCTTGGTCAGCGTGGACGTTTTTGAAGTCGGGGAAGGCGAGAGGGTGCGGAGAGGGCGGGTGTCGGGGTAAGCAGTACCTGAAAAATGATATGGTTCATGATCAATGAGAAATATTGACGGCAAAAATCAAAACGAATAAAATGTAAAACAACAAATTGTAAAGAGGAGTGTCCAAATGGGACTTGCTTCAGAAACACAGAGCGAAATACAATTTTTACCTTCACTGTTGTACTGTAATTCACGTTTGAGTGACGCCTCCCGTTCCGATCTTTCAAAAGTGTGGCTTCTTGAACTAGGCCTAGGGGTATCTCCATAGTGTAATTCCCTGTTTACATTTTTGCTGGAAGTAGTACTGAAAGGGATAAAAAAGTATGTATAGCTTAAAAAATACATATAACCTAGCAAGTTCGTCGGGTTGAAGTTTCAAAATTTTTTTTGACATTATTTCAATTCCTTTTTGAAACATACTTGTTTATTGAAATGTTTTCTACTTTTACTAATGCTATTGAAAATACAACAGAAACTACAGTACGATTTTAATAGGTGCTCGTCAGTGACGGCTCGTGCATTGGAGAACAGGGGAGGCTTAAGTCATATAGACTATATACACACAGAAAAGCCCGCCGGAGGCGCGAAAATTTTTATGTTGTTGCACGCTTTGCCTAATACTAAAGTTAGGGCATGGCCATGACAATGCGTAAAAAGTGAATGAGGAGCTATGGACTTTATTTTAGTTTGTAAATCATTTAAATAGCCGGCCATGACTGCAGCCCCTTCATAGGTTTGCGCAATCAACTTTTGCCTAAAATTATAGGTGTCACACGTACTAATTGAAAAATTAAACAAATCGTCAGCTGTGCGCCCAGATGAAACATCAAGAAAACCCATAAAACATTCTACCACATTACCATTTTTGACATATCTAAAAACGATTGAACGTTGTGATGTACAGGTAATATCGGTAGTTTCATCAATTTCCCATGCAAAAAAAGAAACACTTTCAATCTCCTCGCTTATATTTTCCTTAATAATATATGCCACACTGTCTATAAGCTCATTTTGGATGGTTTTTGAGGTGCCCGAAAAAACGCTACCGTTTAAAAAAGTGCCAAATTATGAATCATATTTGCCCCATAACATTAAAAGTTCCTGGTAATTGCCGCGATTAATCGAATCTTCGGTTCTATCGTGTCTGCGAAAAGCTAATTCTTGGGAACCTAAATAAATCGTAATATCGATGAGTCTTTTTAAATTCGACCGATTTTCCCTAACCTGATTATTAAAAGAAATTATGGCCTCTTTTTGAGTTGTATCTAAAGCTGTTGCTATATTTTGTTTGCTAAACAATTTGAATTTACAAGACGAAAATATATGCTCCTCAGATTCAAAATGTCTTTCTGTAGAACGAGGTAAATTTTTAAAATCGGAGTATCCTATTTTAGACCACGTTTGGTATTCGGTTTGTACGGAAAATAAAACACAGGGCTAACATAAAAGTTTTTCTCGTTTAATGGAACCGGTTAACCAATCGCATTTATCGTACCAACTAATATTAAATCCTCGATTTTGTCGATTATCTGAGGCTTTAATTGAAATCAATTTTGTTTGAGGCCTTCCCAGAGTTTTAATAATGTGAAATTTATTATCATAAGATAAAAACTTGATATTATTTGTCAGCCACCAATCGACTATATCGTCAGATTTTTTAAATTTCGTCCAACTTATCCATAATAAATGAAAAAAAAACTTATCGAAAAGTGAAAACCTGAAAATGCCTTGAAATGGAAAGAGAACAATTTAAAAAAATTACCAAAAAGCACTGCTATAATACTGCCTGTTTTATACACAAATAACAAATATTATCAAGAAACACTAAAACGATTTACCGAAATATTTCTCAGTCCCGGTCCGTCACGGCATCCCGTCCGAATAATTGAAAAAAAAAACAAACGCAGTCGTACGCTAACGGAGACCAACTGGAGGCTAGCCTCCTCTAACGCTATGATTTCTGCAACTAAGTAAAAATCGGACATATGTTGCTGGTTGGATCGGTCTCGTGGAGCCTGTTTTTTAAAGCGGTCGGCGGCTTGGCTCCCTTGCAACGTATGGCATTTATTATTTCGGGTTGATGGTTTATTCGTTATTCATTCATGGGGGATGCGTTTGAGTTTTGTTGAAGCAGGATACAGTGTGGTACGTACTACGTAGTGAGTGATAGTGTTTTTCGGGCATTCTGAGTATTTATATTAAAAAACAATGGTAAAGTAATGATACCCAAGCATTTAAAAAAATAATAATCATAATTATTTGTCAATATCTTTTAATTTATTGCGATGAATAGCCTCAAATTTTATGAGGAGGCTAAGCCTCCCTTGCCTCCTCTGACGAGCCGCCGCTAGTGCTCGTGAAGTCTCTGACGAGCCGCCGCTAGTGCTCGTGAAGTTTTTGCACTCAGATCACGTTAATGGAGATAACAATCTCCTGGATATTTAATTATTCAGATTCAGATTTCGCTGACTCCAATATAAATACAGTTAAGCGTTTGAAAATATCCTTGGGCTCATATTATTTGTGTCTTTAGTTTTTGGCAAGTTATTGACATGAAGTTTCATATACATAATCGTCGTTGGATACTTACTGAAAAGCTGGATCGGCGCCAGGACTATTATAGGATTCTGTAAGACAAATGATATATAAATAGTGAATGATTCAAGCAAGTTGACAAATAAATGCTATTCAACCAGCACGATTTCATTGAAAGCATGGAAGACAACTCGTGAATAGTAGGTAATTCTGGCTATAAAAAAATAGATTACCTTTTTCTGAGAAAGATGATTTTTTGACTTGCTGCAAATCATCCAAGAGAGTATCTAGTTGATTGATGCTGTTCTGCATTCTTGTTTTTTCGGGCAAAATATCACCATTAGTAGTGGTTGAATACATGTATTTCTCTTTTTTGTACCCGCTGATTTGCTGTCTTCCATCAGGACTCTGTAAATTAATCGGATTTAATTAGTTGTGCCCCACGTTGGGCGCCACACATTGTGTATTCATGGGTATTAAAATAATAATTTATCAAATTCCCCAGGAATTTTGTGCTACTTTTTTCAGTTCAACTCACATTCCAGTACGTGTATACAGGGAGTAGTTCAATAGCTCATAGTTTATTTGACGGTATGATTAAAAATGTTTCAACGCCCATTGGAAGAGGTCAGAATTCCTTCCTCTGCACCTACCTTGTAGTTGTAAGCGTCGTCAGAGGAATATTCGGTAACGGGATTGCTGGATTTCGTATTGACCATCCTGCTCAGCGAGTTGCTTCTGTTCGACTCCAAGGCATTGCCTGACCTTGAGGATTCCCTGTATGTATTCGAGCTGTGTTGACCCAGGGAACTACCAGGGCGCGAAACGGAATTTTGCAAGTCTTCCAATAAGTAATCTGAAGAAGAGAACGATTTTAATAATACTCAGGGTGTTAGAAATATGGAGGAGTTGTAAATGGAACAACCAGATCTTGAGTTCAGTACATTTCAATATCCTACTTACCTAGATTGCTATCGAACTGCGACAAATTTTGATTCGAGCTGTAGTTACGGACAGGAGAAACTGTTCTCATTATCTTCGTTTCCTGATACTCCTTTCTCTCTAACGTTGACATATTGATTGAGTCCTACGTGGCGATAATCTGAAATGAAAAAAAATTATAATTAATAACTTGCTCAATCCTGGGTGATATCCAATTGATATATATATATATATATATATATATATACAGGGCTACTCAAATTCGTTTCTGATACAGTACACAGTATACAATGCTCGGACTGCAACAAATTTTATATCGGCCAAACCAGGAAAAAACTGATCCAAAGGTACGATGAGCACAAAAAGGCATACATGAACCCAATAGTATATAAATCAAAGCTCGCAACATACGCCATACAAAACAAACATAATTTCTCCCCACCATAGAACATAAAACTCATAAAACAAGACAATAAGGGAAACCGCATGGACATTTGGGAAAACTTAAACATCTATAAATTTAACAGTCATAAGTCACTTATCGAGGAACAAGTACAAATCAAAACACAACAAGACCTCACATTCAATATATTAATCAAATCAAGACACACTTCTAGAAACAATAAACCTAGAGAAGATCCAACACAAAGAATAGTACCTGATGTAATCCAAATACAGGCAAGTTTACCTAAAGATCGAAACCGCACGGAAAACCACGTAT